AATTCAATTGGAATATAAACAAACTCTCGTTTGTGGGATTTAATTGAGGATGGGATATAAATAAGGGGGGTATAATAATAAATAGTAAAGGATCCTGTTACTACTATCTCACAACACAATCATTTCAAATAAAATTTACAAATTAGGAAGCCATACAAATAATGGAATCATTTAAATGAAAAAAGGCAAAAGGGAATTTCTTTATGTTAATTTACTTTGAAAGTTTACTACTGATTACACTAACCAAACCAACCCCATTAAAAATTTAAGAACAAGCATACATAAAGATATTAAATAAATCCAACCAGGCCTTTTTTCTTATCACACCAGTTTTTTTTGTGACAGTAGCCCTTGTACTTGGCAGAGAATTATGTTTAGACACAAAAAATTGTATCATTTAACTGTTAGTTGTTGTTTCTGAATTTGTCAATAAGTTGTCAATTGACAAACTGTGTTGGTCTTTTAGTCTCTTTTGATATTATTTACAATATATATATTTTGTGGTAATATTATAAATGTCCATTATTACATTCAATAGCATGATTGGACCATAACAATGTATCCGCTATATCCAGAATAACAGGTGGGTCATGAAAAACTTGATATCTTGAAAACTTCAATTGATAGTGATGACCATCACATAATTGTTTGGATTTGTGGTGGGTGACACAAAAAAAATTAATATATAGAAAAATCGTGGTCGAGCGAATATTTTTACAAGTTTGATTTTATCATTTGATTTTTTAAAACTAGTTTACTTTTTTAAAAAAATGAGCAAAGGCTTTTGGATGCTACAAAATATTCTGATGAGTCTGAAGACGATGGAGACAAATTCCAAACGACAACAGGGAGGGGAAGAGCATGAAGATGTTAGTGCAGAGTCGTCTTCTTTTATGGATGTCAGCAAACTAAAAGTAAAAGGATTAAAGGAAAAAGGAAGGGAGAAAGGAAAAGCGGCATTAACAAAAATAAATAACGTCGATAGTGATAATGGTCAATTATATTTATTCCTATTTATATATGTATACACACACATATATTTTCTATATATGCCTTTAAAAAAAAAAATTATATAGTTTAACAAAATTTTTTATATAGTAAGAGCTGGTTCTCGAAGATCAGCATCCAAAAACAGAATTGGCGACAAAAATAATATCAATGGTCATATTAGTGATAATAGTTCTAGAAGGAACAACAGTATAACTAATTCTCATGTCCCAGTAAGTTGTTGCAATGTAAAAAAAATTGCATCTATCCGTTTTATTTATTATTCTATAGATGGTTTGAATTATTAGTAAAAATTAAAAAACACAAAGGAGGAAGTTCTTTCAACAATTCAACTCCAAGTAAAGATATACTAATACTGATTAATTTTTTCCCGCCCTACAAGATAATCACCAACTTGAAAAATTCGATGTTCGTTATCATGATGGTAAAACAAACTATTGTCCAGTATATCGATTTAGTTAATGATTAGTCATAACATGCATATATGGTGTATTTATATAAAGACAAAAATTAATTGATTAAATGTTTTAAGACAAGAAAGAATCACAATCATTGGTTGAATTGGAATGGCGTACAACAAAAAAACAGGTCATGAGATTAGTTGTGTGAACTGGACAATTTGAGAAAAGACAAAAAGATGTCACAAAAAAAAAATATGTGATCAAAACAAATTGCTTCGAGAACAAATTGAAATAATTCATCGTTTGATTTATTCCCATTTGTCAAACATTTTCTTATTTAAATATTAGATCTTTCTTGCAAAATTGTTGATTATTAAAACTCGAACACTTGTGAAAATTAAAATGTATAATTTAAAATAAATATGCATGCATGATAAATAAACTTTAATGTTGTATTAAACATTTTTAATTAACTTAAAAATATAATAGGTTAATCTTTTATTTACAATTTAATTATTCACATTCCGCAAAATATACATACCCGATATATTACTGATTAACTCGGGATCTTTTTTTTCAATTAATTAATAATAACATTACGGGAAATTCCATTGTATATAATAGTAAACGAGAAACAACAATAAAAAGATTGATCATTAACGCGAATCCAAAAGTTTGATTGGTTGACTGTTTCTGTTTAGGGAATGATATACAAAATGGCCCCACATGATGAGTCAGGATTTCCTTTTTTGTATATAGTATACGGTCACATACATACAATGAGGCCTACGGTCTTGTATTCTGATATATCGTATGGACCTTACAAGTATAATAATTGGGTAGAAAAGATTCCCTAATGTTTTTGGAGAACTTGCCGAAAGATTTTGCGTTAAAGGATTTGGCTCTTTGTTTTAAAAAAAGGTTAAAGAATAATAATTGTGCCAAAAATTCTTTTTGTTGAAAAAGAAGTTGTTTTTTCCTGTTTTGAAGGATATGTAATGAAATAATTATTGTTTTGATAATGGATGGTAGTAACTGTCAATGTTGCTGCATTTTTGTTTTTCTGCATTAAAAATATAATAATTATTATAGATTTTGCTGCATCGTTGTGTAACCAATCAAAAATATCCCATATACCATATAATTTATGTTATTATCTATTACTATTACTATATTAATATTATGTTACGAAGAAATTTCAGGGATCAAAATCTAAACATCACTGATATAATGTGATTATCTAATATGCACATACGTTAGAGAAAAATATTACATTATAGTATTACGTACTAAAGACTTTATTAAGACACAATATATATATATATATTTGATTTGAATAAATAACCTTCTTTCCTTATTATATATATGTATTAGAATATTGTATAACAGATTTACTTGGTTTTACCACACTATAATCAACCCCGAGTTTGATAATCCATAGTGATGGGATATGTTTGGTTGATGAATACGACAGTTATTATCGAATGGAACCGAGATAATTCTATTATCTAAAATATGAGAACTTCTTTGTCGATTCAGTATCGATTTTCTTTTATTTATAATATGAAAACTTTATAATTGATTCTTGCAAAAAAATTATAGTTATTAAATACGAAAGATGAAAGTTTATCTATCTACACTCCTGGACAAAAGTTTTGGTCACCATAAAACAATTGATTGTACAAAAACATACATGATAAAAATATAAATAATTTCTTATCAAGTTCTCAAGAATATGTATGCGAAATTCCAAATTTTGTGACATCTAGGGAGAAAAAAATAAAAATAAAATTTTTTGGAAATGATCTTCCAAAATTTTGATTTTTGATTTTCTATTTGCATACGAATGTAAAACTCCTTACTATTATGGTTTTAGTTGAAACCTGTAAACCTGTATTTTCCATTAATTAGATTTCTTCAACTCATTCTTATGGTCAATGCTCATATATTTAGGGTGTTCATTTCTTGGTAACTCTTTAACACTATCTCTTCCTAGAAGCCTTTTAATTGTTTTAGTTACAGTTGTTCTTGCAAATCTAAATGTTTTAGAAATATGTGAAATAGTACTACCGTCTTTGTAAAAAGTCCAATACATCCCTCATTCCACGTCCAGATTCTGTTAAATTTGACATTTTAATTTTTTAATTTTGTGGAAAATTTCAAAAACTTCAAAACAATTTTTTAAAATAATAAACTCGTATATTCTTATACGAGTTATCTAATCCATCATATGTCAAGATAACATGCGTGGTTATTATGTAAGTTTCTGAGGAACTGGTTTTTTTTGGCAAACAATGATTTTTCAGAAGATTTTTGGTCAAACTTTTTATTTTTTTTTAACTAATCATTTCCTTTAACATGGTTTTGTGGTTTTCCCACTTTATTTATCTAAAGGAATAATAATAACAACTTTTCATGCAGGAATACGATATCCTTATCACTAATTGAGCATGGTAAAGGCCGACTAACGGTATTTTGACCCCTTCCATTTCACAATTATTATTATTTTATAAACAGTATTTTCAAAAGAAAAAAGCCAAAACCCCAAAATTAGAAAACCCAACCAAACAAACTAAGTCAAGACCAGTGTCGATAGTACAACTGTGAATTCTGAAAAAAAATTTTTAACCCTGAAATTTTGTCATGACACGTTGTCCAATAGTAGCTTTAAAAGGAAATGAAAAAATTCGCAATAATAATAATTAATAATAATAAACCCCGTATTTTAAAATGGGAAATTCTATATTATTAATATTTCAGGAATTAATTAATAGGAAGAGTTAAGATTAATAATTAATAAATTTTTGTTTCGAACATAAAAGAAACACAAACAAACAAACAAACAAGCATTCTTCTTCATTCTCTCGAATTTTTGGATTATAAATTGGTTTTTTTTAATTTAATCGATTTCAAATTACGAAATATTGATTACACAACTATCATACATTTTCGTGTAATTGATTTCTTTTTAATTTTGAGTAACTTTGTTTTTATTTAATAATAATTAAAATACATTTCGTAATCTCTTTTAATAGTTTCAAGATTATTATACCCGTGTACCAAGCCTTTTAAACAATCACGCATCAATCTTAAATGTGATTGGTAAATAATTATTAAGGATTTACTAACTATTATTGCGTTCATATTCGTGATAGTGATAGTGATATAAAGTATCAGTTCATTACTTAAATAAACATTATATAAATTTGTGTAAACTTACTATATTTTTTCTTTCTTTTTTATTTGAAAAAGATCCTTCTTTTACAATATCCAACTTTTACTTCCTTTTTTCAAACTTCCTTCTCTTTAAACAATATATGATCTTTACCTGATAACAGGAATGACTTTATTTAAGAGATCAACATCTACATTAAACAACAAGATTTACCCTCACCATTAAAACAAATTACATTCATAAAAAAAACAAAAACCCCCCCACTGTAATATATATATAATTACTTGTATATATATATACACATAAAATTAATGAGAATTGTTTATCAATTCAATTACTTGAACTTTGTAAATTTATAATAAAAATTAATTAAATAATTTTATCAACAAAAAAAATATTAAAACTTCTCACTAAATATGCCGCAAGATGAAAAAAATTCACATGGCCATCTTGATAGAAAAACAAGTGGTAGCAGTAACACTAGAAAAATTACCAGGTTTCTTGGTATTACTGATAATAGTATTGATGAAGCTAATATGTTGGACAAATCTTCAAAAGCAATTAAAATACTTGGATTAAATGATAGTGAATTAAATAAAAAATCTATATCATTGGATAAAGTAGTGTCTGAATTTAGAGGTAATAGTCGTAGCAATTCTTTAAATAGTGTCAGTAATGGCGTTGGCGGATCGGTTATAGTGGCGAGTATTCGTAAACATGTTGTTCATAAAGGATATTTGTCAAAACACACAAATACAAATTTTGTATTATCTAAATCATGGAAAAAACGATATTTCGTTCTAGCAAAAAGTATTCTTTATTGTTTCAAATCAAACGATGCAACATCTAACCTAATAGATAGTTTTGAATTGACATGCGATACTGTTGTATGTGTTAGTGATGTGTTCAGTGGTAAAGCGTGGATTTTAGAGGTTAGCAAACCAAATATAAAGGCTTGGTATTTACAAGCGGATAATGTAAAAGCGTTGAAATCTTGGTTGACGGAATTAAAATCTATTGTAGTAAAACTTAAATATAATGATACGGAATTACCCAGTAACATTAATTCAGCCACGTCTATAAATCTTATCAAAATCAACAGCAATGACAGTCATGGTTACAAAAATAATAGCGATACCAATAAATCCAAAAACCACATCAACATTATTAATAATATAAGCAATGGCAGCAATACTGGCATTAATAAAATTAATAATAGTAGCAATACTACTAGTGTTGTTAATAGTCCTATTAATGAATCATACAATGAAGAATTATTTTTCACACCTAAAACTTCTATTTCAAATACGTCATTCGTCCAAATAGAAAAAGGTGACGACAGTGACAAAGTCATACCAACAACACCATTACCGCCGCCACCAAGACACGGTATGATTATAACTCCTTTGTCACCAGCTCCTAGACCAAGGTCTCAATCATCGTCATCATCTTCACCTACCACAGATTTATCGTCATCACCTAGGCCATTATCTCCTTATATGATGATGTCAAATACAATGACAATTGACGAGGAAATGCCAAATAATGAAAATGAAAACAAACGATTACAATCGGACGAGCCAATTAAACGTCCTAGCTCCCCTATTGAATCATTATCACCTCCATTAAAAAAAATTGGCCAAGCAATTAGACAATTACCAAATTTGAATAATAGTACTAATAATAATAATAATAATAATTATAATTATAATTATAATGGTAATTTATCATCACCGACTACAATGACGACAATGACATTAGAACAAAGACGAAGACGAAGATCAAATTCTGCTGAATCTCTAGAAATCAATATTTTACCAAGTAGAAAGTACAACAACTACTACAACAATGACCATAACAATCAATCAATACCATCACCTAAAGGTTCAATTGGTAGTCATCATTCAGATTCAGATAAAAGAAATAGCACCAGGCAAAGTAATCCTATTGTAATGCCATCGTGGTCTGTTAAAACAACATCAACTAACATGATTCTTACTAGTGATAACAATAATAATAACAAAATCAATAGTAGTGATGAAAATAATAATATTATGCTAATGACACCTCTTTCACCTCCTCCACGTGCATCACCAAAATTTCAAAGACCTACTCTATCTGAAAGATCAATTAGTCAAGATGATAAATCTAGCAATACACAAATTGATAATAAGACATCAAGAAGATTATTGAGATTATCGTCGTTACCGAATAGCTATGAGACAACAACGATTCATGATGAAATCGTTTCGTTTGCCTCTCCGACTAATGATGATAATATACAACCACCACCACAAAAAACAAAAAAACGTAGAAATAAAAATAAAAACAAGCCAATCACTCAATCGTCAAGTCTTTTATCAACATCAGCATCTACATCATCACTCAATTCACTGAAAAGAATATCAATTACCGAAGAGGATGTAAAACTGAATAACATGTTAATAATGAAATCGCAATCACAATCATCATCATCAACATCATTGTCATCATCAACATCAACATCAACATCATCATCAACATCAACATCAACTAGATCATCACCACCTTCTCAGCCATCCCTAACACCATCAACACCATTAACGCCATCAACATCATATAGTAATTCAACGAGCTTACCACATCGTCTTCATTATAATCATCGATCAAGTTTTGTAGATTTTCCCAACAAACCAATTCCCCAATTACTGCCAGCACGTTCAAAATCACAACCTCATTACACCATATCTAAAAAATTTCTACGTCGACATTTTTCATTAACCACTGTGGACATAAAATCTTTACCGCCGCCTACACGTCCTCCAAATGTTCCATTGCCTCCAATTCCACAGAATCAACAAGAGTTAGACTCACAATCACAATCACAATCAGAATCGCAATCACGATTGCAGAATGAGTCAATAGCGGAAATTCAATCACAGCCACCACCATCATCGATATCAAAATCAACACCCAAAGAAACAAATAATGATTCATTAATTGATTCAAAAGAAAAATTTGCAACTAATTACACTGATGAAGATAATATTGATCCATATTACGCAAAAGAGTTGTCAGCTTCATTGAATAATAATAAAATAGAGAAAATAGTAGAAAATGAAGAAAATGAAGTTGAAAAGGTTTCTAGTTCAGAAACTCCTTATGATGATAATCAAAAAGATGATATTATAGAGGAAGATATTACTAAATTGCCAGCGTCTGAATTAACCTTTGTGGTTGTTGAGGAAACAAATGGTGATGGTGAAATAATATTAAATCTTCAGGATGTAAATGAGATAAATAGTAACAATAATGATGACAATGAGGATAGTAGCGGATCAGTCAAAAGAGTTATTAAAGATGATTTTGATGTCATTTCAGGAAAAGCTAATCACAATAATAATCTTCTCGTTACATGATCATCTTCAATGTAAATTTTTACATCTTAACATTTAATTTTACGCATTCAATTTTAATCATTTCATTTACATATACATAAATAATATATAAATGTGCGTGTGTTAATTTTTAATGTTTCTTTTGTATAAAATCATAGCTTATTGTATTATTGTATTAATATTTTTTGTTTAAAAATTATTTTATATTTATTTATTTTTTCATTACTCTAAAAAAAAATTACATTTACTCAGAAAATAAAATTATCAGCAAGTCTTTCTATATTTAATAACGACAAATCTAATAAAAATAATTTAAATAATGTATAATTTTTAATATTCTTCATAATCTGGTACAGTTGAGTCGTGGGATTCTAAAGGATAGTATATTATTAATATTGATTTTGTTAATAATAATCTTTAAATAAAAAATAAAATAAAAGTAATAATTAATTACCATTATGATTACAAATGATTGTTAGTTTGTTGGAATTTACAGGTTGAGGAAGATTTGTAAAGTTTAATAACCTGCTGGTGTAAATAGCATTTGGATGTATAATTGTCGTTATTGTTGAAGGATCAAATTCAATCTTATCCATTTTATCAAATGATTCTCTGATTGACTCTGTTTCACCGATTTCTTCACCAGAATATCTATGATGATTCTTTATGGTATTTATATCATCAAGTGACTTGTACCAATATTTGATAATTTCTCTGATTTTTTTTGCAGTTGGTCGGTTACTAGGATCAGCATCCATGCATCTGTACGCTAATTCGATATAAAATTTAGGAGTATTGTTGGAAAATCCAGGTCTCTCACCTTCACATATTTTAATTGCAAGATCTATATCATGTGCAATAGTACTAAATGGCCGTCGGCCTGTTGACACCACTGACATTAACACTCCAAAACTGTATATGTCAGATTCTGTTGTAAATGGTTTGCCATTTAGCACTTCTGGTGCAATATATGGCAGCACTCCACAAACATTATTCTTATTCGACGACAACGACGATGACGACGACGATGATGAGGTCTGATCAACTGGACAGGAGGATAATCCTAAATCTGCAATGAATGCAAAAACTTCCAGTAATATATTACCACTATGGAAATCATGATGTACGATATTTTTTGAGTGGATGCTTTGTAAACCATCAATTATATCCAAAAGGATTAAAATTTTCCTGGACCAATTTAAAGTTTTAAATTCTTTTGATAAATAATTATGAAGACTTCCATCTTTTATATAATCGATTATAAATATATATTCTTTTGTAGTCGGATCTTGTGTCAATCCATAAATATGAACTATTCTATGATTTTTTTTATAAAATTTAACATAATTTTTGAACTAAACAAAAAAAAAATTTTTTAAATGTGTGCGTGTGTGTAAGTGTATTTAATTATTAATAATAAATCTTTAAAAAAAAAAATAATTGAATAATAATTTTACCTCGCTTAAAAATTCTTTTGAAATATTTTGAGAATTATGCAGTTTTTTTAATGCTACAACTCTATCTTCACAACATCTTTTTCTGGTGTCAATATTTACATACCTACAACCATTAGTCCATGTAGCTTTGTACATAGTTGTAAAACCACCTTCGCCTATCTTTTCAACATCTTTTAATACTTTGTAAGGAACCCACTGAAGATAATTATCATTACGATAAATAGATGATTTGTGTTGAGTACTTTTAATTAATTCATCCAACATCTCATTACCACTAGTCCATCCTCGAGTTAGTAAATATGGATCACATGTTTGACACCATAAAACCGCAGTATTATATTTATTACAAGTTAAGCACTTGCCATACTCTTCTTTTCTTTTATCCGAATACCTATCAATCTTACTTGCTTTATCTTAAATTGATGTAGATTAAATTGTGCAATTTAAATAAATCAAATTAATAAAATTCAAAATTTCCAAAAAAAAAAAAAAAACACATCAAATGGTGAGTTTTTTTTTTGGGCAAATAGTATTGTTGTTGAATATTTACCAATTTTTTTAACTAAATGTTCATCATCATGAGTGTCGATAGAATTAATATTCTTTTCTTCTTCAGTTGAAGCCTTTTGATTTTTGAATAATTTTTTAATCTTATACATTTTTTATTTTTTTATTTTTTTTTTTAATAAAAAATTTTTTTTCCAATTTAAATAAAAATTTGATAAATGACTCCGCCATTTTGTGATGAATGAAGTCACAAGGCGCGAACAAGTTTTCCATTATTAATTGAATAAATGAATGTGTGTTACTTGATGTCGATGATCCTAAAAGGTGTTTATATTAATTATGAACTTTCGCCGCCGCCTAACATCCGTGTTGCGGCTCATAAATTAATGCTATTATCAAGCTTTATCCCGTTTGGGTTATCGTTATGTTGTATATAGTCGATACTGTTTGCCCTTTCATTTCAAGCAAAATATAAAATGTTTTGGCTTGATATTTTAAATTGGTATTTATATATGGTTGAATTTTCGATAGGTTCTCGGAAATAAAAATTAATAGTAATTTTCTAGAAGTTTAAAAAACAGTGCCCTTTTTGTCACACTCTACCTTTAATAAGAGGAAAACAAATGTTGTTATAAACGTTTGGTGGTCTTAAAGGCCTTTTTGAATAAAAATTTTGAGTTGTAGAATTATTATTATTTGTCATAGTAAAAAAAATATATATTATTTATATTTCAATTGAAACTATAGTTGGCTCGGTCTAAAGACCTCCTAAGTTTTGCATAAATTTTAAAAGTATAGAAGTCACTTTCTGTCCTATCT